CTGGCGAATACAGTAACTTGCTAAACGTAAAAAAAAAAGTATAAAGAGACATATTCACTTTTTTCATTTTTGTGTGTGTTTAAATTAACATATATCCACGTTGGGAAAGCTGTTAACATGTAGTGAGAGGGACATCAACTCTTAAGTCAAATTAGCAATCGAGCCCTTTATGTCAAAATTTAAAGTTTGCTTCCTTTGTTGGCAATGCTATTTTATGCAGATGCTACCTATTATAAATAACTTTTGAATTGCTGACTGAATAACAAACACTAAGAGAAGACTTGTGATTTACTCAGAGTAAATGTATGTAATTAAAATATAAGATTTTAGTATTTATAAATTTAAAAATTACATATAATTGTTTTTATATGTATCTGAAATTTTGGAATTTTTATATAATTATCTATACATAGGATCAGAAACAATTGTAATTAGAACTGTAGATCAAAAGTTATAATTTAATGGGTCCGGTTCATATATCTTTCCACCTTTCAGTGTTCGAGAAATGAAAAATAAATAGAGTGTCAGCTGACTTAATTGGTAAAACATTATCAAGTTCCCTAATGCTTTCTTAAAAAATAATTGGTAGAATATTCGCATTTAAAATATATAATTTTCAAAACTAATTTAATATAATTTATTTATTTGTCTAATAATATCAGAAAATAATAGTTTTAAAAATTACTTTTAAATAAAAATATTCCTTTTTAAATTAAGTTAAATTTTAAATAATAATTATGTTTAAAATAAAATTATTTATTAGGATATGAGATACACACGCACACACACACACACACACACACACACATATATATAAATTAAAACATCACACCTATTAAAATAAAATGATTTATTTATATGATTTTATAATCATTGTATCTTATTATAGAATAAAATTTAGACCTTGATCACAAAAGTTTATCTGAGATTTTTAACAGTTTTAGTAATTTATACTCGTTTTGAAAATTTCAAAATACAACATATATAAAAAAGTATAAATTTTTATCATATGATTAGTGTATTTGTGTAACTTATTTTAATAATAAAAAGTAAACAAAAATGATATAAAGTATACTACCCACACCTGGGCTACAATAACTCGAGATAGTGCTCGGACACTGTCCGTAGACGATTTATCGACACTTCCAGGTTACGGTCCAGACGGTCGCCTATAGCTGGCCATAACTGCTCATACAATCCGGCATATAGAAGTCCGTCTCTGTATTTGGCCAAACAATTCTAACTACATGATTTACATTAAGCGAAGCAATCAATGTTGAACTATCTGACATCCTAATTTCGGTTAATGAAAAGAATTATAAACCTAAACAAGTAGACACCAATCAGACCTTAAAACAGATTTACTTCACAGAGACGTAACACATTAGAAATAAACTATACTTATTCGAGGTCATAAGTCTTGTACAAGAAGTTTGAGAGTAGACCCTCACCTTAGCAAATTAAAAAGTGGTATATATGATTCCAGCTGCTCAAATAGATTCCAAATCTGAAATCAAATTGAAATTTCAAGTCAGAACGATCTTCAAACGGTCAAAAACGGGTGTCTACGGAAAAGTCAACCCGCTGGTTAAAGGTCAATCCGGTCAACTCTAACCCAAGCCGGTCAAATCTTGACCAGATTGAAATCGAATTGAACCAGTCACTTTTCCTTAACCGGATTCGATTTCAATTGGACCATCCAGTTTATTCTAACCAAAATCAATTAATTAAATTAACCAGTTTAACTTTAACTCTAACCGATTTCTAATTGATTTTAACCATCCGGTTTACCCTAACCAATCGCAATTAATTTAAATCTGGTCAAACCAGTCAACTAACCAGTTTACCGAGTCACCGAGTTGACTCGCTGAATTGACTCGGCCGAGTTGGCCGAGTCACCGGCGACGGCGGAGACTTACCGACGGCTTTCCTCTCTATCTCTCTATCTCTTCTTACTCTCTCTCTAATTTTTTGCAAACAAGAATTGGTGGGCTGGACCTTTATATTTATAAGCAAATATTTGAGTTTTGGGGATGAATATGAACCTTAGCCAGTTAACAATTTTCGAAATAGAAACTCGAGTCGTTACAATTATTCAATGGGTCTAACTGGTGACCAAAAAATGAAAGGGAATAATGCATTCTTTATCTGTCTAATTTATTTTACCATTTATAAGGAATATTTTTCTTTCTATTCCTTTTATTCATTGTATTTTAGAGGAATATAGAACAAATTTATTTCTCACCAAAATTAATAAAAAATAATTTTTCTTTTCATTTTTATAATTTTATTCTTCTACTTTTTTTTCTACTCTTTCTTAATGTTTCTATGATAGTCACCAATTAGACTCTATGCATTTTTTATATTTTTATCTACAAATTGTAATGCTTTGGTTGTACTCTAATATTCGCAAGAAGGCCAAATAATAAATCTTCGTTCTTCTCAGTTGGTTGAAATAGTTATAATGAATTTATGATTTTACCTAATTTGCACTCTCTATGTTCCACATTTATAGATTGTTACAACTATTCACACATAAGAAACAATTAAATTTAATTATGCAGTTTATATGATTATTGTAATTCACATTCAATTGTTTTAAAAAAAGTTATAACTCATAACTGTGAACTAACAAAATGCATATGTGTTAGGATAAGACTTGCGATTTGCGCAAGGTGAATGTATGTAATTAAAATTTTTGTATTGACAAATTTAAAATTTACATATGATTATTTTATATATATTTGGAATTTTGGATTTTTTCTATAATTATTTATACGTAGGATCATAAAAAACTGTAATTATAATTGTAGATCAAAACTTAAAATATTGGATCCGGTTCATATATCTTTTTACTTTTTAGTGTTCGAGTGATAAAAAATAAACGGAGTGTCATATGACTTAATTGGTAGAGCATTATCAAGTCCCCTAATACTTTCTTAGGTAGAATATTTCAATAGAATATATAAAGTTTCAAATCTAATTTAATATAATTTAATATAATTTATTTATTTATCTAATAATATAAAAAATTATATTTTTAAAAAACTTTTTTAAATAAAAAATAATTTTATAAAAAACTAAGTTAAATTTTAAAGTATAAGTATGTTTAAAATAATATTATTTATTCATACAATATGTTAATTTAGGAACCATATGAGAAAAATCTAACTACAATATTAATTATCTACTCTATTAAAATAGAGTCATTCTTTTTATCTACCAATAAAAGTTGTCATTTAACTTTGGACCCTTTCTAGAGTGTTACAAATAATACAAAGCATATAGTTAATTGAACCGTATTACTTAAATTAAACCGGTGGTTATTTATGGGATATAGTCTTGGGCTTTCTTTTGTTTTTAAAACAAATTATATGGTTTGGTTTTTGGGCTTAGTATTAACAAAAATTCCAAAAAATATTGAATAAACTTTCCACCTTACTAGATCAAAAAATCAATTATTATTTACAGGCCCAAAATTTAATATTTTTAACAAAACAAAATTATCTATTATTAATCATTTATTTAAATCATATACTTTAAAAGATGTTGATGTATTTTTTATTTTAAATAACCATCACTTTTTTGATAAATTTCAATGGTAAATTTTAAATAATTTATTGTTTTATTTTTCTTAAATAATTTATAGATTTAAAAAAAATATGTAAAGCAAAACCAAATACTAACTCTAAAAACTAAAATTAAAACCAAAAGCTGAAAATGCATGTTATATTTTTTGCTTTTGTTTATTTACAAAATAAACTATTGCAAAAAAGTTTTAAAAAAATTTGTCATATTTTCAGCTTTAAATTAGATGTTTGATTATTTGAGATTTGTTTGTTGGTAATATAAGTTCAAACTAACTAAGCGGGTCTAAAAATTAAAAAACTCAAACCAAAACCTGAAAATCAAAAATATAAACTTAAAACTAAAAACCAAAATTTTTTTAAAAAATCTAAAATTAGAAAATAAAACTAATGAAAAACAATCATCACCACAAACTTTGGTGAATTGATTTTATACCAAAATATATTTAAACTAAGACAAAACCTAATTATATAAATTTTTAATCATAAAAAATTTCTGCGCTTTCAAGCGCGGGTCAAAATCTAGTATTAATTGTACTCCGTTTCTGAATGGTATGAATATCCGATGTTACTTTTTCTATAAAAAGAGGCCCCAATGTTCTACATATTTCATGAATTAGTTTATTAGGTGTAGGACCTGTCCGTCTGCGTGAGCAACGCGTCTCTGTCTAGAAGAAGCCAATGGCCATGATGCTGTAAGAGCACCCACATCAGAGTATTGTGGGTGGAGTTCAAACGTTTTTCGAGAAAAGAAAGTAATAAAATAATGAAAAGTTGGTGAACTCGAGTCACAAAGGTTCTATAGAGTGAACCGGTTCACTGCCTTTTTCGTGGGCCCCACGGCACGTGGCGGCCCACGATTGGCCTGTTAATTTTTTTTTTTTTTTTTAGAAAAAAGTAAACAGAAAAAAATAAAAAAAAAATATTAAAAAATTACTTTTGTGAACCCCATACCCGGTTCACAAATGTAGATGCTCTAATAAGCCACACATGCTCTCACTGAGAAGAGACTTCAGCTTTTTAGCCTTTGAACCTTTTATAAACACAAAACCCTAAAAGAACACACTGACCACTTTCGTATTCAGTGTGCTACAAAACCACCTAAATAAAATTATATTTTGTGGTAGTTGCTACAAAAGTTCCAAACTATTGGCAATTTAAATTAGAGATAATTACATTGTTTGAAATTCAAAAAGGGAAAAAAACTGGGTCCACATAATTAGGTGGTACTAAAATTGTAATAAAATAATGTGAAGTTTTATGCAGCCGTCATTTATTTCTCATTTTAATTGTGTGTATAATCCCCCTCCCCAACTCTCCACAATATTATAAGATTTTAGCTCTTCAACATCGTACTAATAACATTCTTAGAGTGAATGAGAGAGAGAGAGAAAATACTATTGAAATAGAGAGATGGGCCATCACTCGTGCTGCGACAAGCAAAAGGTGAAGAGAGGGCTTTGGTCACCGGAAGAAGACCAAAAGCTCATCAACTACATCAACACATATGGCCATGGATGCTGGAGCTCTGTACCCAAGCATGCAGGCATAAATATATATTTGTTTTGTTTCTTGAATTATCTACTGATAAAAGTCTGTCTTTTAGATTTTGATCTATTTGTTTGTGTTAATATTCAGGTTTGCAGAGATGTGGAAAGAGTTGTAGATTAAGATGGATAAATTATTTAAGACCTGATCTTAAACGTGGAAGTTTCTCTTCTCAAGAAGCTGCTCTTATCATTGAGCTTCATAGGCTTCTTGGTAATAGGTAACGTTACACCTGTATGTGATATCCCCTATATATTAATTGAGAAACATTTGAAAAGATGTAACCTCAAGTTTGTATTAATTAAAAAGTAACCTTGCTTAGTTGTCAATCAATTAGCATACCAATTAAACTGACGTGGCAGCTTTAGGTTCAATTGAAATTTGTTAGGGAAAAATAATTAGAGACGCATATAATGCATGTAACATAGTTTATATATTTATATATATCGCACGCATGTAATGGAAGAAAAGAAAAATATACGATTTGATAACGATTTGCATATATTAACTATAATAACTTCATTCCTTTTAATTTATGGAAGTGTATATGTAAAATGGAAATTACTTTGTGACCAAGTACATACTTAATGGTAAAGGCAAGTGTATATGTAAAA